CACTGTTTGAGAATCGCTGGGGTGATCGTACTCATATGTATACATTGCCTTAAACGTAGCCTTTGACCACTCATATTACATCTCCAATTCTATCACACAGTGGGGTCCTAGCTGTTAATGACCTACCTTATCTTTTATTTCACATATACAATGTTGAGTGTTGGGTTGACAACAGTTCTATTTATCTCTTCTTTGCAGGTTTTGCTTCGGACGAAACGACGAAGATGGACAGCGGCAGCGGCAGTCTCAGCGGCGAATGTGAGACTGAGGAAGATTCAGCTCCAGAGGCGTGCACCTCGCCTGGTGGGGAGACACTTCTTCCTAGGTATGTATAAAAATATACTTGTAATAATTTTTATTGTTGATTAATAAATATTCACCATATTTGTTTAAAATTAACACAATGATTGAATCCTCATGAGCCAAATACATAGATAAAATTATAATGAAGATATATAATGCTTGGCATTCTATATTATATACTTCACAGTGTAACAGACCGCCCCTAACCCCCCATTTTTAATCAGATTTTAAGTTTCATCCCCTTTTGATTTTTGCTAAAAAATTTGATATCGCTTTTTGTTTTTTGATTTGATTTTTTTTTTTTTTTTAATTTCATCTCCTTTCCCCCATTTACATTAAATTTTTTTTAAGAATTAATAGGCTTCATGTCCTTATTGCTAGTCAACCGAAATTATGCTTTCTGTGGGTGACTGAGGTGTTACAAGCCAAATTAATTTATTGGAAGATTCTATTACCGGAAGTAATTCAAAATTCAAAAGTCTTTTTAAAAGTTCCGTGAATGTATTATTTTAAACATTTAAAAAACTATTGGGACTTACGGCAAAAACAAACATAATTTTTCTAAAATTGACGGTAATAATGGAGAAAGTTGAAATTTGAATTTTTAAGTAGAAATCGCTTTTGAAAACGGAACGTTTTCTTTAGAACAATATAGGAAATAATATGTTTTTAAAAACAACGTATACTAAGAAAAAAAATATGGCCATTTTAATCCGTAAAGAGTAAAATATAAAAAATAAATATTATTTTAATATTTTATATAAACACCTTCTAGGCCTCTTCAAAGGCATCTCTTTATTGATTTTAATGTTTTTAATTCAAAGAAGAATTGACACCCTCAAGTCATTAGAACTTTTAACGACAATTACACTTTAAAATAACGCAATGTGGACATGTTGGAAGATTTTTCACTTCGATGGTACAGCCATAACAAGAAAACAACACTATGTTTGCTTCCACCCTAAAAAAATAGAACCTTGTAAAATTATTTAATTTTAATTTTGAGACAAATTGACATTACTTTCGGAAGTAGAATATTCTCTTTCCTTTTGTTCATTTATTACTACGTTAACATTATAAACTTTGTGTGAATTGTGTTCTAATCATGTCAGAATCCACCTTGGATAAGTTGTCTGAAGATTCCTTTGTAAATGCTGCTTGTATTTAGACCATTTTTACAAAATTATTAATAATAAATCACAATTTAAAATTAGTAAAAACAAATTTAGGTTAGGAATTAGAAGGATGAAACAAGGTTGCCAGTCTTAACAGAAAATATTTCGCTATTATGATTTGAATAACATTTCAATTAAGAAGAAAGTTTATTGATGCAGTAAGTGTTAAGATGCTTCAAAAAAAATGTTAAGCTTTAAATGATTGTCGGTTACCGGGAATTTCAATAATTCTTTACAAGAAATGGTAATGAGGTAAAAACATAATGACTAATGTCTGGAACATTATACATTGGTTAATAAGATGTTAAGGTGCTTATAGATATAACGGGTCTTGCCCGGTCCGTTATATCCATACGCACCTTTAGGCTTCTTATAGCGATGTTTAAAGAAGATTGGCGCTATTATACGCCGACACTTGAACGGCGGATATAACTATTGAAATGGTATAAAGAGTTTCTAGACACTTTGAAACACACTATACATAACAATTTTGGGTCCGTTAACACTTAAAAATTTTTTTTTACCTTAAAATCCTTAAAATTTGAAAAAGAAGTTGTACTTCGAAACATATGTCATGTTAGTGTTTTTTTAAAAATTTTTATTTTTAAAATAAAAGTGTGAAAATCTACCAAATTTGGTTTTACTCTTTCAAAAATAAACCATTTTCACTGATTTCTTGTTGTAGAAACGGCTAAATATCAATATTAGACCATTCATAGAGCATTAAACCGTACCAAATTTTTTCATAAACGATAAAATTTTCTTATTTTTCATTTTTAATTTGTTAGAAAAACAAAAACACAGTAAATTATTTTCAATGACAATTGACGTGTCTAGTTTCTATAAATGGGGTGTTGCCAAATCGAGTAAGAAAACATATAAGTCAGGAAATAATTCGGTTAATAAAAGTTGGCTGAAAAATTACATAGTTTCTGGCCAGCAGGTAAATTTGGATCTCGAAGTGAACGCATTTGTAGTAATCACAGACAACTGTTTTTTTATTTCATTTCATGATGATTGTACGTTAATTACGGCATGTCGGTACTTATCTAATATTTGTAAAAAATACTTTTTTTTTCAATTTGAGCTGTGTCCAGGCCGTTGGAGTCTATGCCGGTCGGCGTATGGTTTAAAAATTTTCTAGTGGCGGCTTCGCTGCCACCCTTCAAGAAGTCATTGCTGCATCTTCTTATTATATATTGTTAGTTTAGGTTAGGGCGTCGAAGAGTACTCTGCCGATGAGGGTGAGGAAGATCTTGATATGGATATTTTTTAAATCGTTAGTTTTATATAATTTTTCTGATACTAAGTCAATTGGTTGGCCTGGTACAACGTAGGGCATAGGTAAAAATTACCATTGCTATGTAATAGATAATTGATATGGCCACATTGTATTTCTTTTAGACACATGTCACACTGCAAATGTCAATTGTCATTGTGTTTACGAAAATTAAAAAATCTGACTAAACATGGGCTTAAAATAAGAAAATAAACTGTTTACGAAAAAATTTGCATGGTTTATTGCATTATGGATGGTCTAGTATTATTATTTAGCAGTTTCTGTAACAAGAAATTAATCAAAATGATGTAGTTAAATATTTTTCAACATCGAAATTGGAGGACACAGTTTAATAGTTTTAAGGTAAGAAAACATATTTTATAGCGTTTGCAGGGCAAAAAAAGTATTTTGAAATGTGTTTCAGAAGGTCTAAAATCGTTTTAAAATATCTGATGTGTCCAACACATGACTTTCCTATCTATTTATTACAGGCTTTTTCCGTTTATTTTGTACAACCTATTGCAGCATCTCTATAAATGTTTAGAGGATAAACTAAATATATATATTGTCCACATACATCTACCGCGAAACATTTTTCTATAGATATTCATTGAAAATGAAAATACTGAAAAATTTAAATTTAGCACTTTTCCTACAATTTTTCCATTACGGTCCATTTAAAAAAAATCATGTATGAACAAATATTATAGAGATCGATATCGCAAACAACTTTTATTTCAACAATTTTCATAAAAATCAGAATTTTGCACATTTTGTCAAATTTCTCGAATACGGACCATTTCAGGAAATTTTTACATAACGCAAAAATTATAGATAATAATATTAGAAGTAACTTTTATTTGAACAATTTTTTTCTCCAAACAAATAACAGATATATTCTATAAAATATAAAAACGGCCTCCCATAAAGTACCCCCCCAGATGTTCGGACTTTGTCCAAAATCTAATCATTTAACGTCAGGCTGAAATAAAACTTAAGTTTAAAATTTATTGATTTTTTCTTTATCCGTTTTTGAGTTTTCTTCAAATTTCGAAATTTACACATTTTCTCAAATATCTCGAATACGGTCCATTTTAGAGAAATTATCTATGGAATAAAAATTATATAGAATTATATTACAAACAACTTTTGTTTGAACAATTTTTATAAAAAAAAATATTTTTTTACATTTTGTCAAATTTCTCGAATACGGACCATTTTAGGAAAATTTTGTATATAACAAAAATTATAGATAATAAAATAAGAAGTAACTTTTATTTAAAGAATTTTCTTCCCCAAACGTAAATAACAGATATATTCCATAAAATATAAAAATGACCACCTTTAAAGTACCCCCCAGATGTTCCGACTCTGCCCAAAATCTAATCAGCTCATTAGACGCTGAAACAAAGCTTAAGTTTGAAATTTGGTGTTTTTCCGTGTATCGGTTCATGAGTTATGCGTTATACACACACACATCAGGGGACCTCAAAACGTAAAAATTCGTCGAAAACTCGAGGTCGAAAAAAATCATGATTCCTATACTTTCCTTATATCTGTATACAGGTAGGAAAGTAAAAATAGCCCGTTCGACCGTTGGCGGATTTTTCCGAACATTGTGGCGTGTATTTCAAATTTGCTTGATTTTTTCGGAATTTTAAAAAATTATTCTACCTATGCAAATCTTAAGACAAAATTTAAAAAAAATATTTTTATATTAGATTTCGTACTCGTTTAGAAAAAAAATATTTGTTGAATTTCACTAAACACGCCCATTTTAAAAATAATGTGCAGGGTACCATAGATACAACAAAAATCAGATTGAAAAACCTCATAGCAATCAATCGTCGCCAAGTCTACAGTAATACAGTTAATACAGGCACCATCAGCATCTCGTACAAGTTTGCCAACCCATTACATAACCCACATAGAAACGACAGAACCCAAAATCAGCATCCAAATTAAAAAAGTCAGTCCCTCGCCGTACTCTCAGCTGCGCTATGCTCCGCGAAATGTCGCGGGATCGCGAGTGCCAGTGACCATGTGATGAATGTATCGCGCAGTTGGCTATGGCCTAGTCTCCGCCACGCCGTTGTTATGTTTGTACGTGGTTTATTCGCGAACACGCCGGCAATAGATTGTTTTTTGCGCGTTATCCGCCAGTTTTAAAGATGGTTTTTCTCCGAAAATCTCGCGAAATCAGTGCGAAAGTACCTATGTAAAGTTGAAAAGTTGTTTTTGTAATGTTATCCTGTCCTCCACAAACTCATCGTTATAGTGCTGTGGATATAATGCAGAACCCTTGGTACCCGCCTACTAGGCAAACCTACACCACCAATTTGGTGGTGGAAACCGCTCCACCAAGGTTAGTTGTTATACCTTCGTTACAACGTTGCCAATATCCGAGAAAAAAACATTCATAGTATTCATTTATTAGAGGATACTTATTATAGTAGTGACCTTGCCTGGCATTTGATATGACGAAATAAACATTTTTGAATTCTGATGCTTTTTCTCTCCGGGCTTATAATTACAAGGATATTTAATTTATAAGATTAGCAGTTGGTCGCAAGAACGTTAATTAAAATTTAGTAGCCTGATAAATTTCGACCGATGTTTAGACTGTACATAATTTAACGTTCATGTAATTCAAACAGTTCAGTCTAATGAAGTTATGGAATCATTGGTTATTGATAGATTTAATAAGCGTTCTTGCAACCGGGTGTTTAAATTGTTATAATGGAAACTATGGCCCTTTTTACAAATAAATTGTCGGTGTTTCAAAAAAGTGATTTTAGATCACTAAAAAAACTGTTTATCATTAATTACATATCTTTAAAAATGTAGAACCTACATCAGTTAGGGGAATCAACCCCTAAAATTTCATTTATAATATTTATTCAATATTTCTAAGTACTTACATTCAGAATTCATAAAAGCCATTGATAAACAAAATCGCATTTTTTTTTCTTGCATCTGGTTTTTGAACGGTTCCTTACTAATTTGACGTTGCCGAATTTGAATCTAACCTAACTTTTTATCTAGCATCTCCAGTTTTTCTCCTTACAATTTTACTTACTCAGTCGAAATTTTTTATAAATCTTTCGCGATGTTATCAAGAAGAACTTGTGTAAACAATCCAGATAGTCTTTGTTTCATTCGTGGTGAGCTCGGTGGTGAGTACATGTTTCAAGATTATCTCTTGAACGTGTCTGATTTTGTAAAACTTGCCTATATGGACTACTTTTGGAAGCCATTAGATATAAATAGTAAGCCCTGGATCCGAAATATGATGTGCAAAAGTTGTGTGTCTTTGCGTTTATGCCCAAATATAAAAAGGCCTACTTTTAAATACAAACGTGCAATGATCAAATTAGCACGATGACTTTTATTTTTGTGTTGTGAATATTACAGGAATAAACCGCAAAAACCGTTCCAAGTGGATTTATCCTAGGTTACACTGATTTCTAGTGATGAGTGTCACAACTAAAGTGTATCTAGTTTAACATCTCAAAAACCTTCAGAAGACAGTGATGATGGAGTGACTTTAGTTGCCATTTCGAACCTAGAGCGCTTAATCAATATTATATAGATGATTTGATCAAAGATCTTGTACTGTCTAAAAAGCAGAGCCTTTGACAATAACACACGCCCACCCTGTATGTTCACTTCGAGCGATGGCATGCCAGGACGGGCTCCAGGACTGGTATTCAACAAAGATATCGGTGCAATAATAAAAACTATAACTGTTAGTCCGTGGGCCATGTTATAATTCTGAAATATAATAATTTATTTCTGGTATATTTGAAACTATGCTTCTGTTGTTTTACGTAGGTAGATATACAGAATGTATTAGTTGCACTACCGCGACCTATTAATAGATTATAGTCTGAATAAAAGAAGAGTGCAGTAAAAATGAAGTTGCAGCGTCACATTCCATAGGCGTACTTTGAAAAATAATTTTCTATAATATAAATAAGGTCGCACTTCGTAGATTAAATTTTAAATGAAGGAAAGTTATATTGTTTACAAAAAATAAACCTTATGCTTCTGACAAAATTGTTGCACTTTAACATTGAACGAATTAAATTTAATCAATAAATAACAAGGAGGATTATATGTTGGTAATGGGATTAAACTTTTTTAATATCTTAGTATTAAAAGTAACACTTCAGTACCTTAAATCAAATATTAAAAAAAATTAAAAGTTCAAGAACTATCTTTAAAAGTCACTGTCTTCACTATAACTACTGATATCATTATCATTGTCTTTTCTGAGGTTGGTTATTATAGGGTCTTTTAAGTTTTCTATTACTATATCCACTTTCCAAAATAAATTTTCCACCTTTTGATCAATGCATTTTCTTCAATGTTCTCCATTTACATCTTTAAAAACAAATTTCGCACATCAGGTAATTTAAATGTTGCATTATCTCAAAAAACATAGTTTTTAATTGTTACCAGATCGGTTTAATGTGATTTAACTCTACGTAGGCCATCCATTTCTTCATGGTACTCTTTTGTTTTCTTTGACTCGAACATTAATAAACCATCTGGCAAAAATCCATCGGTGCTTCCAATGTGAGTTTTTATTAAACAATTTCCTTTTCCTGTTAGATTTTTTTAATCAACAAGTGACCCCTTCCATGAAGTCTTGTATTTTAGTTTTAATAGACGTATCTTGCAAAATTTTTGTTACTGTATGTCCAACATTAACTTCCGTTTCATCTAAATAAAATACCTGTTTATGCTGATTCCTTGCATCCGCTATTTTCCTTAAATAATCATGTCTCCACGCAATGATTTCGTCTTTTTGTGAAAAAGCTGTTTCTGTCATATTTTTGTAACGAAAATTTAATTCATGTAATATTTTTTGCAGATGAAAATATGATAAATTTGGAAGAGTGGGGCTATTTTCTATTTCCGAGTGTTATTTTTTAAGTGTAGGAATTTAATTTCGAAAAAAAAAGAATGTATTACAATATTTTTTTCTTCTAAAGATAATGCTTTATGTCCACTAGGTCGTTTACTTGTGCTTGCAATATTTTCTAATGTACTCGTCATTTCTATATAACTGTAAAGTTATAATATATACTAATACAAAATTCCGAAACAATTAAAATACATACGATACGGCTATGGAATTATGGTGTACACATTTATGGAAGTATGAGGAAGTCCGTGGAATTCCAGTGGAAATCCGTGGAATTCCAGTGGAAGTCCTTGAAATTCCAGTGGAAGTCCTTGAAATTCCAGTGGAAGTCCTTGAAATTCCAGTGGAAGTCCTTGAAATTCCAGTGGAAGTCCGTGAAAATATCACATAGCGCATGCGTCTCGTCTTTGTGTTATGACTCTTCCACATAACGACTATAAACTGGCGGTAACGACATTTGAGTTGATCTATAATGATCGATGCTGCAAGAAATTTAAATATTTAACTGTTTCGACGGCACTTACTACTTGCCGTAGTTGTCGTATTGTGGTTTAGTGCCGCTCGCGCAGTTATATGATGTATATGTGTATAACATAACCTCAAAACATTAAATTTATTTGCTTTAGCAGGGAAGTTTTCAATTTTCTCTGAATATTGCTTTTAAATCAATATTGCGAATTTAATGGTGTTTTTTTTTTAATTTCCTACTACGTTTAAACAATAAATATTGTTTTAGCATAGAGTTGGTAGTTTTTTTATGCAGTCCGTTTCAAAACAAACTTTTCTTTCCCAGGCATGTCAAGGAAAAATAATATATGTCACTAATTTAAAATAAATTAGTATTTTTCTACAACTGTCAAAAATTGGCTGTTTGCATTAACGTCAGTGACTAAAATGAGACATTTTTTCATTAATACTATGAAAAGGCTTTAAAAGTAAAAATACCTCGAAAAATACCAAAAGAGTTTAAAAATATCCTAGCACTAAATGGATATACTTCACTGCGCTTAATTGCGGAAATGACTGACGAAGACGTTGAAAATTTAGAAACAGTTTTAAGGGAAGTTTTACCAAATTTAATTGAGCTGGGTCAGCATAAAAAATATTTGGGAATTTTTCATACAGTCCTGGAAAAATTTACTTTCTTGAATGGCCACAAAAAACTTGCCGATTTTTTTTAACTGCACCCCCTATATAGATTATTATACTCTGTCAACATTTAATATCATGGTCAGCCCCAAAAAAATTTAAAATCTCCGAATTATCACTAATAACATATATTGAGTAGGCATAGACTATATTATTTATTGGTAACCAGGACATATTTACATCAAAAGATTTCAAACAATAAACTATAATATAAATGTATAATGAGTCAGCACATGCGCAGAATCTTCTTATGAAATAGTAATATTGAGATGTACTTGATATGTACACAAAATCCATAAAATGTACAACCTTATAAGTAAAACATACCTACTTTTATTTCATTTTTTAAAGTGGTAAATAGCGGATACTTGGAGTTTTACTGTACATGATAGTGGAATTCCATGGAATTAAATTTAGTGGAAGTATGTGGAATTCCAGTGGAATTACGTGGAATTCCAGTGGAAGTACTTGGAATTCCAGTATAAGTAAGTGGGATTCCAGTGGAAGTACGGGGAATTCCAGTGGAAGTACATGGAATTCCAGTGGAAGTACGTGGAATTCCAGTGAAAGTACTCGGAAGTACGTGGAATTCTGGTGGAATTATTTAAGGAAGTGGAATTATGGTGTACAATTTTTCTCAGGTGGTTTGCCCCTCGTAAATAGAGTCTGACTTATTTGTCGAAATAAAAGGTTTAGTACACTAAAAATCATGGAAACATGATAAAATGAAACTTTTATTAGGCACATAGGATGTATTAAAATTTTTATTTTAACTACAAATAAGCATTGAAGGATGAGGTATAAATATGTCTACCTCTTGAACCTGTACTTACTACGTTCTGGAAATTAAATTACTGCATTCCTTTCTTCTCTAGACTATAGAAACAAAGAAAACTGAACATTTATAAATTTAAGTAACAACTTTCATTTATGTCGACCCCTGGGGGGTCGATAACGACCTTTTTGGGAATCCTTGACTTATACTATGCCTATGACAAGTCGACTGCGACACATTTTTAAGATAAAAAATAGCATGTAGATCATAGTACAGAAAATATGATCACCCCCTGTTCTAGGGCTGGCGGTAATTGGAGTTGCTAATAGAAATCAAATAGGCGGTCATGACTATATAGTAAAAATAGGCAATTTAAATTATTGAAAAAGTATATTTGGTTTTAATGTTATTTATGTAAAAATCTTTAAAATATAGAAAAATGGAAACTTAGAAAAGTATATTGCGCGATACATTCATCTTTAGCGACAGAAGTTGGAAAGACCTTTAT